CTGTGCCCATGCCCAGATCCAAAAGCATTCGCAGAAGCAGATGCATTTCAAGAGAACATCGCGGTCTGCCTTGCCTTGCTTTGCCTTGCCATTGTCTGGGGCGACAATTTACATAATTTAAGTCATTTAAATTATCCGAAAACATTTCAATTCAGGCTCTCTCTCCACACACCCACATCGCACATAGCAGATCCACACCCACATTGCATCTCCTCCAGCCGCGGCCTTTGTCTGCCGCCTGACGCTGCCATTGTCGTCATCGTCTGAATGATTTTGCGATTATGCAAAGTGCATTAATGAGCCTCGGACTTGGACTAGCACTCGATCTCCTAGCCCAGGGCTATTGTAAAAAGGGAATGAATGAATGGAGCCGCAGCCTACAGAGTGACTGAATGAGTGAGTGGATGAATGGATAGATTGTCGAAACACGCAGCTCGAGTGAATGGCTGCATATCACATTACAGGCCAAAGACAATGGCTAATGCTGCTAAATAGATTTTGCTCGAAGCAGGAGAACTATACCCCAATGAACGCCAGAATTAGCTAAGGAACAAAAGAAATCCATATCCATTGTAGGCTATCCACTGCGAGTCTTAAAGCTGGAAGGAATCCCCAAGAACTGAAATAGATTCTGGTTAACTTTAGGGGAAGACCTTTGACCCTTTAAGCAGTATTTCTCAACCAACCCAACCCCAAGCCAGTCCCATTTCTATTCCCATTCCCCCCCAAAGAGACTCTCCCCCTTTTTGGCGGATATTGCTCATAATATGCTCGCACCTGCTTTGATCTGGCCGAGCATTTAACCCAATGCCTGGCTGATCCCACTTAAGACCCTGGCTGAACCCGCTGAACCCCTCGGAATACCCCAGGATACCCCTGGACACCCGGGACCGAGTCACACTTGCCTAGACGATGATGTTCGGGCCTGATGATGATGCCATAAAGGAGATAAACCCGTCGCATAAAATGGTGTCACATATGCGCAACATTAATCTGTTTTGAAATTATAAAAGTGGAGAGTGCGCAACAAAGTCGGGCAAAAAATTCGAAATTAAAATAGCAACCACCACGAAAGGGCACGGCAGAGCAGAGCAGAGCACCAGGGGATGAGCACGAGTATGTGGCAGGGAGCAGGGGGCAGGAGGCAGGAGGCAGGAGGCACAAGGCAGGAGGCAACAGTGACGGCTGCGGCTTTTGTAAGCGCAGTTTACAATGTTTTCTCTCTCACTCTCAAATCATATTCATATGCAAAGCGAGAGGCAGCACAATGGCAAAAGTAATGATGCCAACACCAACCGTGACATTATATGGCAGGAACAACAGGGAACAACAGGGAATAGGGTACAGGGAACAGGGTAAAGGAGGCAACAATAACGAGGGAATTACGAGCATCAAAATGCGCAATGAAAATAAATTAAAGTTTTAAAAACAACAGCCAGAGAGGCCAACAGAGGCAAGGGGTCGGGTGGATGCCCGGATGCCCATGTCCTCTCCAATTGTGCAGACAATTTAAGGAACTTTTGTGTAGGTGGACACTCGAAATGGGAAAAAATTACAAAAGTTTTTCTGTTTTTGGGGGAAATAAGAAATTTGCATAAATTGACAGCAGAAATTTTTATATGCCACCACATAATGACCACTCGGAGCAGCTGTAAACAGCTCGTAAAAGTAATTACAGTTGCCGACAGACAAAATGGGCAAACGCGGAGGGATGCGGAATGGAAGGGGATGCGCCCCCAGGGCGGGGGTGTCACAAATGAGCGGGTGTCCATGGGTGTTTGCTCCGACTGGCCACTAATTATAGGCAACTTAAACGCAACTAATTTTCACACTTGGAAAATGATTAAAACTCCATTTGTCCGTGTGCGTGTGCGTGTGCGTATGTGTCTGTGGCTGTGGCTGTCTCTGTGAGGAGCAACAGCGTGAGATCCAGCGGGAGAACGAGCCACCAGCTTGGCCGACACCTTGGCTAATTAATATTAATTGAATTTCTTGGTCAAGCATGCGTCTCGTCCGTTCGGGCCAGGCCGAGTGCGTGGAAATCTACGCAGCTGCTGTTGGGTGCCACTCGATTGGCAAAACCCCCATAGAGGCAAAGTGCACCACTCACTTCACACCGGCTAATGCCCGGCGTAAACGATCACGAAACCGAAGCCGAAGCGAAACCCGAGCGGAAGTCCAGCAGATGAAGCGTGCTCAGCACGAACATTTCGAGGCAATTATAGTTCAATTATATTGGTCGAGAGAGCAACGGAGCGGAGGAGATATATGGCCACGCAACGGATTCAACGGTCAGCAGCGGGTCGGGTCGGGCCAGGTCAAGCAGGAGTTGACCGGCTGACAGCTGGCAAATTGCGAGGCCGGACCCACGTCAGTTGTCAGTGGGTGCAGGACGCCAGAAACTGGGTTTCCCACGCTGAAATTTGGCCCAGTGGTCCATCGATGATATTAAAAGAGTGCGTATATGGTTTTCATAATCTTTTATTTCATAATTTATTACAATTGAAAATTATGTTCAATATTTTCTTGTATTTTGTTTCGTTCTTGTTGCTCCTCTACTCTCCGCCCACCACTCCATGGTTCCGCTAGAGACAGAACTCTTCCCTGGCATCCCTCTACCATCCATCGATCTCATACAACAAGTTCAGGAATTCGTTAATTGGTTTTTTATTTCTTTACATAGAAGCTTCAATTAGTTAATTAATTTAATGATACTTTCCTTTCAATATATTTATAATTATATTTATAATTTACTTTAATTCATTCTGGCTTTAAGTCTAGCAATTTAGTTAAAGTTAATTTTTACACGCACAAACATTTATTTAATTCAATTCAATTCTCCATAGAAATATATTTATAATTTTTTACTCCAATGCATTCTCGGATTTCATTTGGTAAGTTTTCTTTTTGGTTTTTTCAAGGATTTACCGCAACTAAAGAGCTAGCTCTCCCTTTCTAACTCTCAAGTGCTTCAGGCGCACGCTCTCGCTCGCTCTCTCGCTCGATCGCTTGCTCTCTCGCTCATGTGTCTATATCTATATCTATCTCGTTCATTCTTGTTGGTTTACTGATGCTGTCGCGTGGGTAAGTTGTATAAATAGTTGTCTCTTTCGTTCTTTTGTTTATTTTCTTTCTGTTTCTTGTGCATTTTTTTTTTTAGTCTATGCTCAGGGTTGCTTCTGCACTCGGCCATTTACGATCTAGCTCTAGACTTAGGTTAAGATTAGCATTACAGTTAGTTTATAATGTACTTAAGGGGGAGGGGGGGAAAGGGTGATCTATGCAAATGTTGCGCAGTATTTACAAAATTGTCAAAAATGTACAATATTTATTACATACATTACACTCGTCGTAAATGTAGGGATTACGTTAGTAATAATAATAATAATGTTGCTGTAGCACTTAATAATCATAATATTCATAATATTTACGGCGTATACATTAAAGTTTCGAGAAAAATCACATTTTAATTTAAATTCTGACACAAAAATTAGTTCAAACATAAAAAGCCTTCCATATTCGTTTCGTATTTCCACCGATCCGCCAAGGATCGGTATGACATTCACACACACACACGTACATATTGCATTCGCCCCAAATGAATCGCTCCATCCAGCCATCTACAAGTGATTCAATTTACAAGCTTCCGTCGGACCAGACCAGCGATGTGCTGACCCCCCAAGATCTGGAGAGAAAGCAGATCAGCCCGAAAATCGAATGTAGAAAAATGCCTTTGAGTCCTATACCAAAAAGCTCATACAAAATACTTGGAAGTGCTCAGGGATACTCTCCAAACCCTAGTGTCCTAGATAGCACCCACCGCTGTCTGGTCGGACCACATTTGGTTCGTTTTCTTATGCGTTAGTGCGTATGATATATGTATAGATATATACTAATCGAGATTTATTAAAATTTAGTTACTGTATAGCTATGTATCTAGGGTTTATGTTCTCTATATAGACTCGTATACATCATTCATTCATTCAATGCTTCCACTTTTGGGTTTATTCTCATTTAAGGCGTTCTGTACAGTTTGCGTTTTGCGTTTAAACGTTCTGAAGTCAATTGTATCGATTATTTAACTACTCTTTATATATAGTCTAATAAATTACTAGCGATGCGTACTCGTACTCGTATATCGTATCGTATCGTATAGATTTCTGTTGTATATTTGGGGAAAAATGTTCGATCTGCTGTCAAATTTAACAGCTCTTGCGGCTTAGCAAATTTTGTAAATAAATTTATCGCTTCACGATAGGGTGCAAAAAATTCGCATAAAGATTCTTCATTCTTGGGTTTGGGGGATTCTTAGAGAAGTTCGTATACATTTGAGTGATTGTTTCGAGTGTGATGATTAGTTAGAGATGTGTGCTAAACAAATGATGGGTTCCCATGCAAAAGAAGCTCGAGCAGGCCAAACAATCTGTCGCTTTTGTACTCGCTTTTCCACACCTTCAATCGGTTCGTTTCGTTTCGTTTCGTTTCCAAATAAATTACTTAAATTTCGATTTGTTGCCCTCTGCATTTACGTATATTCGTTACCATTTAAGATTAATCAGATTCACAAGCAATGTAAATTCAATTCAGTTCCTTAGCATGTGTTTACACTACACCAAAAGAAACAAATCATAGGGTGGGAGGATGACATTCTCTTGGAGAATCTTTCCTCAGTGTGTTGCAAGGAAATCATAAGTGCGTTGCCCCGCTGTAAAATGAAAAACCAATCCAAAATCAAACAAATAAAAATGTTATTTTTTCAAATATTTTCTCATATATGCATTTTTGTTTTTTCATCAATAAATCATCGCTTGTACAATGGTTTGCTGTTCCGCTCATTGTTTGAATTAGTTAAATTTAAATCATTAATTAAGTAAATTTAATAATAATAATAGTTAACTAAGGATTAACGCATACAAATTAGAATACATAAATAAAAGTACAGTGTAAACGTAAGCATAATTTATTATTAATATTTACGTATACATATATTCAGAGCTACATATGTATATGCCTATGCCATTTAGTCGTTAAATCCATACATATATATAGTATATATTTTTCGAATCGGTCCATGTGCTTCAGTTGGAAAATAATACTACAAAATCCACACACAATGAAAAAAGGTCTCAAAACAAATTCCATTCAAATCAAAGGTTTCTTTCATTTTTGTTTCTTGTTTTTTGTTTTTTTGTAAAAATTAAATTCCATTTCGTTTTTTACTTAAGTGTTGCAAGGCGTAAAATTAGAAAACAATTCAATTTATTTAAAATTAATCGTCTAAAGGTAGGATCGCCTATAGATAGGGTTCTAGGTGTATCGTATCTATATGTACTCATATGTATAGTTAGTTATCGGTTTGTTTTTTGTATGTACATATACATATGCATAAAGGGGGGGCTATATAACTGACAACTGACTCGTTACATAACTAAAAAGTAACTAAAAACTAGCAAAGAATTCTCCTCTCCTCTCCACTCTCGATCTCAATCTCTCCTCATATTCCACAAATTATATGCTCATTCAAATGATTTATATTCAAAAATTGATCAAAATTTCTCCTGCTTTTTGTGTGCTGCTGGTTCTGGTTCTGGTGCCTGTTCGGGGCACTAAACAAACTAAAATCTACTCAATTTCAAATGAAACAACAAAATCGCTTTAATTTCTGGTGTGCTGTGTTTCAGTTTGCGCCTAAATTCATGCTTTAATAAAAATGTTTCATCTGCATTTTTCAACCAAAAAAATTTGCATTTCAAATTGTTGTGGCTGTGTTTGTGTTTGTGTGTATTTGTATCTGTATCTGTGTGGGTTCTGGCTTTCATTTTGTTTTATTGAACTTATAGCTAAGCGTTCCATTTTGTTTATGCATAAATATCTTCGTATTTTTCGCTTTTCTGCTGCGTTATTTATGTTTTTTGTTTTTGTATTTGTTTTTTAAGGTATACACACAAATAGTTTCATTTCTTTAAAATTGTGGTTTCCGGTGTTGCTTCTCCGATGTTGCTACTGATGTTGCTTCTGGTGTTGCTTCTGTTTCTGCTTCTGTTTTCTGCTTAGCGAATATCATTTTTTAAGATTTTACTACACTTGTTCTTTGCTTTTTTGTATTTTGTTGCTTTTCCTATAACTTGACTGATATTGCCACTTGGTTTTTGGATGGGATCGGAATGATCCAGTTCCATTCCGGGGTCCTCTCCATGTGTCCTGTTGCTGCTGCTCCTGCTCCTGCTCCTGCTGATGATGATCCGCGCTCCGTTCCGCTGGGTAGTAGTAAATTTAAGCTATGATTTTGGCTTGTTCGCTGTCGGCCAGCTGCTCGAATCCAGCGATTGGCTCAGCCGCCTGTCCGACCGCTGCCTGTCCGACCGCCCCTGTCGGCTGGCCGCTGCATTACAAGTGCTGGCCGTAGTATTCGGCAGGCGGGTAGTGCGGATAGCCCTGATGGAAGCCGGGATCGCCGGGCGGACGATGCATCATATGCGCCTGGCTGTCCATCATGTAGCCCATGGCGTCGTGCCCGTAGCCGGAGGGACCTGGATGCGGTGTATAGACTGTGGATCAGTGATCGTCGTATCGTTGTGGCGAAAGAGAAGAGAGACAAAAAAAATGCGCATAATTAGAAATTGCGGTCGAAAGGATTGCGAAAGAAGGAGAGCTGACTGGATCAGCTCTCTTAATTCTTAATTAAATCAGCGCCATTTCATAGTTATGGATATTTTTCGATCGAAAATCAAGTAATTCAGAGCGATAGTTACCTGCACGATTGGATTGATCGATCATCGGCTGGACAATTCTTCGCCGCGCATTGATGAACCTGTAAGTAGAGCAAGAAGAGAAGTCGAGACCGTTTTAGTGGCTTTATTTGTTAATTAAACACAAACCAAAATCGAAAAACGAGATAGAGTCGGTATTGGAATCGGAGACGGAGACGGGGTTGGAGTTGGAGACCAGACCCAAAGCTGGAGCTGTACCTATGAATTATGCATGAATTGGCTGGGATTTGCCGGGATGGCTGCTTTATGTGCCCAACTTAGCCATAAACCAAACCAAATCTCCGCCAGAGTCACACTTTTTGCTGCCATGCCACGGCCAGGCCGGGCTCTGGCTCTCGGCTCTCGGCTATGGGCTAGCCAGATCAATGGGCCATGCCGACTCTGGTTATGATTGTCGTTTAATAAATGCAATAAGAAATAATAAGCAGTTGATCCAGCTACTGCGTGAAGGATCAACGGCGACACAGAAAAAAAAGAGGAAAATGATTAAAGCAAAAAGCCGCCACCGGAGTGACAGTCACTTGGCTCTGACGATGTACCAGTCACAAAACAAAAAGAAAAAACCATCCAGACAACAGCAACAAAACACGGAAAAAGACGCATCGGTTACAGATACAAGGCGAGTACAAGGCCAGCAGTAGAGGCTACAGATACAGATACAAATACTCGCATTAGCCGAAAAGAACGCGGCTCAAACAGTTGAACAGTTAACGGAGGTTAATGCACTCCATGACTCCTCTTCAACGAAATCCTCTTCTTTCTCCATCTCCATCTCCGACTTGGACTTGGACTTTTCAATTTGCTGTTGATTTCTGCTGTGTTCGAGCTCTGCTCATTTTAGGGCGGAAATTGTTGCAACGCCCTGAAATCGTTTATCAAAACGACAAAATGGAATTGAGTTCCGTTGCCTTCTCTTCTTATTTCTTTTTTTTTTTGAAGATGCAGCAGCAACAGCAGACGATGCGGGGCTTGTAAGCTGCAAATCGATTTGGCCGCTGGCCCTCGCTGGAGTTGATTGGACTGATTGCAACAGAGTTCGAGAAGAAGAGATACAGATACCCGATACAGATACCCGATACAGAAACAGACACAGTTGCAGATAGAGTCTCTAACTTCTAGTTAATATTGGATAATAATGATGATGGTAGGACTCTGCAGGACATTCGGTAAGTGTACATTTGCCGAGTTATTTATGTACTTAGGCCATAATTATAACTTTTTATTTCTGCAGCTGTACGGAGTAACTAAGCGTTAATATTTAAAACTTGGCCACTGAGAAAAAAGCAAAAAAAAAGCGAAACTTTTTCGATTACCAAAGTTCCTTGGGCCGTCTGCCATCTTATTGGGTGTTAATGGACTTTTCCTCCATCTTCATATCTATCTCCAACTCTGTCTTTGCCACTGCCACTGCCTGGTCATTTGAATTGCTTCTTATGCAGTGTTTCTCCCTCCTTGATGTGGCTGGACTTGCCTCAAATTGCGCAAAATAAATACACATTTAGAGGGAGATACGCAGAAGGAAGGCCCTTGGCTATTCCCCCGAGGATTAGAGTCCTGCCAGCCTTCTTCGGCCCCTCGCCGACCCCCCCTGCAAAGGTGTCGTCCGTTAGCCCATAAATAACCAAAAGTGTCAACATTTTATTTTGCTATTTTCTGCTTAGGTTTTTCCTTTTTTCTAGGGCCATCCTCCTCACTCCATCCTCCTGCCTCCATCCGCCGGCCCTTTAGCCATCTCTCTACGCAGTGTTGCGTGCCTAAGCGAAACGGGCAGGACAGGATGGAACAGGACGGGACAGGGTCCTGCCCAGGTCCTTGCTACTATTTGTTAATTTGCAGTGTGCTTCAGTGAGCGCGAAATTCAATTTAATTGAGCTGAGTGCCTGCCCGCCTGCCTGCCCGCCTGCCTGCCTGCCGCTGGTATCCCAGCGTAACCCCAACTCGAATCAGTCCCCGATCCTGCCTCCTCCCTCTCTCTCCTTCTCTGTGGATAAAGCTCTCACACATTTTTCGCTAGATTTTATTATGGCCTGTCCCTGCTTAAAAGCATTCCAGGGCACATCGGAGCCGGCCAAAGCCAGCTGCATAAAAGATTCAGCAAACGCTTTTAACTTGCTCTCCAGCTTTCTGTGGCAGCCCCTCCCCCCCCTGCCGCTCTACCCAACTCTCCATCTCCATCTGGCAGAACTTCTTTCGTATTTGCAACTGCACGAGGCAGCTTAGGCAGCCAGCCCTGTCTTGTCTTCTGCATTGGCTGTGGCACAGAGTGTCAAGTTCTGCAGCATGTCGCATAATGTGTAAAATTTGATGAAGTTGCCTCCTCTCTATATCTTTTTCTTTGTCTCTGCCTCAAGCCTAATGCACTTCTGGATCTCCCTAGGATTTGGCTTTCAGTCTCCTTCTATCCAACTGCCTGTCTGTCTGTCTGTCTGTCTCCTGTTCCGTTGCTTATGGGGCTGCTGTAAAAGGTAACAAGGCCCATAATTTTGTTTGCCACATTCTTTTCACCTCTCCGGCCTGTGGCAGGTTGACTTTGCCACTCTCAACTCTATTTCTGTGGCGTGGGCAGTCGCCTCAACCACTGTGTGCTCTGAGCCCCAGAGCCCCCGGGCCGCACAGGCATAAAGCGGGTAAGTAATGTATTATGATCTTAATAAAGCAGATAACACCATTTCGATCTTGATCTACATCTTTTTCTTTATCTCTTAGCCGTATCTGGTACTTACCAATTATTCACTTGCAGTATCGTTAGGCCTGTATCCTGGGCCAATTGTTTCTTCTGGTCCTCCGAGGGGTAGGGATGCTGCAATTGGAAAACCCAGAGAAAAACAATTTAATAAACAATCCATAATTAAATCCAAATAAGGAGAATGTTTTGGGGGGAGGGGTAAAAACTGCTACAGGCCAAAATTTACAATCTATCTATCAGGCAGGGAGGGGTGGAGGGGGGGCTGAGAATCGATCAATCATTGCCAGCAAACAGCCACCATAAAACCGAAATGGGAACCTGTCACCCCGGGACCAGGGCTTGGGACCGCCTCTGCACTTGAAATGCTGCACAAGAGAGTGTATTTTTCGGCTGTTGTTTTTTATCAGACGAGAGTGCACTCCTTATCAGTAGTGCCACTCAAAATGTCCTCAATTTGCTGCCGCTGCCGCTGGCCGGGCTGCACAGTGCGTGCGCTTGTCTAGCGCCAAATGGGCAAACAAAGGCCATGGGGAGGACTGCTTGGGACTGGGTCTATGACAGGGGCTACTTCCCCATAAATCTTGCAGTCGACCCGCCGACACAGTGGCGTCAGTGTGCAAACAAACCGAACACAGAGCCCGAGTGAAAGTGCTTCCCTCTCTGTGGCTGTGGAGCTGTGGAGCTATGGAGCTAGGGAGCAGCTAATCTAATCGTTTGTCCCGGGGGCTGGCGCTTATTACAATTTGTTTTATTTGCTTAGTTGTTGGCTGTGCACTTTCTGTTGACTCAACGATTCCCATTCAACGATTCCGATCGCAACACACATTTTCACTGTACTAATGATTGTTTCGGCGAGGGGTTCTTGAACGCAGGCACCGGCACCTGGCTGGCTGTCAAAATTTCTAAGGATCTCTGGCGGAAGTTGCTGTCAAACGGTTTGGCTTTGTTTCGCCCTCGAATCGGGGCATCGCTTTGCGCGTGCTCCGACTCCGACTGCGACTCCTGTCTGAGGTCCTGCCTCTGGCTCCGGCTCTGGCTCTGGCCTTTGTATTAACCCTTGATTGCCGCAACGTTTCCGGCAGCTGTGGGCGTCGCTTCAGCTTTTGGCACTCGTCACTGACGACTGGAGTGGAGTGCTCCGACGATAATTGTGATTCTATAGAGCCCTATCCGAGAGGGTTGTCTGCCAATGCAATTTGCTTGGGAGCGGAGCTAAGAAATTGTTTGGAAATTTACGGTTTTATGTCTTGCCCTCCCCCTACCCCCTCCCCCCACGAAAATATATGAACTGTCGTCTCATGTATTGGAGGTTACATAAGGATTGCATGTGGCATGTATTCGATGGCCAGTGAAGAGGAGAGTCGTAGCCAGAGTCGCCAGCAATTCCAATCGAAATGTGCAACGCTGCACATCCTTGTCTCTCTCTGTCTCTGTCTCTGTCTCTGTGTCTATCTCTGTGTCTGTGTCTGTGTCGCCTGTCTTCGTCTGTCTGTCTAACTGTCTGTCTGTGTGTATCTGTGTGTCACTGTGTGCCTGCATGTCCTGCCTGTCTGTAATGCAATTTAGTAGCCGTTGTAGTCCTGCCCTGACCACACACTCCTCCACACCTCCAAAGGCTTGGCCTGTTTGGTAGCTCCTTAAATGCATTTGCCTTATTGTTTGTGTTTAATAAATTTTACGTGTTGTCTTGTTGCTCCTGCCACTGGCCACTGGCGCTGCCACTGCTGCTGCTGCTTCTCTTGTTCGTGTTGCGTTGCGTTGTCTTGTGTCCTGCCCCGGCAGCAATATTTGTTTGCTGTCTTGGCCAGGTCGAGGCCATACCCCATCGCTCCCTCTGCCACGCCCGCACTCTGACTCTGGCCAACAGCAAATACCAAAACTATATGAAATTTGCGTATTGACAAATAAACGTAGAAGCCATGTAAATACAATGGACATGCCAATGGCAATGTTCCACCTCCTCCTGCTCCTCCTGCTGTTGCTGCTGGTGCATTTGGCTATATTCCACTCCACCCACATACTTGTATATGTGGTGTATAACCGTAAAATGTCTAAGAAGTCAGAAGGCATAAATTACATGCAGGTAAATTAAAACGGAATTTATAGCATACTTTGTGGCGCACATCTATTTGCAGAGATGGCTCCAGGGAGGTGCCGGAGCAGCCTGGTTATTGATTTGATATTGCGGACAACAAAAGCCAAGACAGCTGCCAGTGACAGGGCCAAATGCAGGCTGAGATCGTTGTGGTTTTGAGCGGAAAGAGCAGCCAGTACACGTCTTTAGATGGCTTAATAATCACGACACTTTGTCTCCAGAACTATCCCACATTTACATACGATATATGTACTTTTATCACTGCTGTATTTGCCAACAAGTTCATTGACTTCTCCCGCCTCTCTTCCTGCCTCAGAATAGTATGCATTTCATTTGCAAAAGCTTTCAATTCCACGCCTACGGATATCCCCGGGGCTTAGAGCACTTTTTCCCCTGAATCGTCGTCTCTTTAAGCGTTTTTCTTTCAGCTGCACTTTGTTGCACCAATTAGACTAATGAAAGCAATTATGCATTTCGCACACACACACACACACAAAGCACACAACCACAAGAACAGATGCTCGTACACGGGCTGTACACTGTAGACCGGCGAGTGCATAACATGTCAAGTAGAAACAAAGTCCATTTGGTTTATTAATTTACCATACGACAAAATAATTAATTACTGTCACGCCTTTAAGTTGCTTTTGCCATGTCGCCCCAGCCCCCAGTCCCCAGTCCCAGTCGCAGTCCCTAGCCGCCCCCCTCTTCTCGTCTCTGCCACTGATTTCTGCTGTCTTGCTGCCTTGCTGCCTGGCTGCCTGGCTGCCTTGTGCCTTGCTGCTGTCTCTGTGTCTATGTGGCAACTTAACTCGCTCCACTTTTTCCAACATATTTTCACTTTGTTGTGTGTTTATTTAAACTTGGCAAATGAATTTAAAACAATCATCGCACAGAGAGAGAGAGACAGAGAGAGATACTCCTTTCCCCCTGCTGACAAGTGGCAGGCAGAGGGACTGGGATTGTGGCAGAGACACAGAGGCTCCCCCTCTTCATTGGGCCTCGGCCTGGGCCTGGGCCTGGGCCCAATGATGTCAACATGACTGCAGCGCCGTGACACATGGCACAACAAGCCCAAGAAGTCGAGGCTGGCCCCGGCTCGGTAATGCACACACGTACAGCCACAGAGCCACAGAGCCATAGAGCCAGAGCCAGAGCCAGTGAGACCAGACCAGACCAGCGATGCCGACGCCATTAACAACGCCAAATGCGACGCCATTTGTGAAACAAGCAACAACAACAACAGCAAATTGCAACGACGGCGTTGGCGGCGCAACGTGAAAATTGCATTGCCACAACGAAGAAGGCGACGGCCTCCGCCTGTTGGCCATTATGAAGATTTTTTCCGTTGCACTGCATGTCTAAACAAAGCCAAATGAGTGTTTCTCTTCCACTCTTGCACTCTGTGTGCCCCAGGGGCGCGGGGCAGAAGCGGCACAGATAAGGTGGGTGAGAGAGGGAGAGCCGCCGAGCACTAATCGCAATGTTGTCCCCATCGCCAACCTCAACATGTGGCAGGGAGAGAGCGGCAGAAAAGAATCATAATAATTTGCAAAAGCCACAGGAACGGGGCATTAAGTTATGAAGATGCCCTACGCTTGGCAGCAGGTCGTGAACCGCCGCCGGAGCCGAGAAGGGGTCAAGGAACAGTCAAAGGTTCATGTGGACGTGGGGGTCTCCCATCCGAGAGATACAAGACTTGGATAGTTTTGCTTTTATTTCTCATTTTTAATTGGAAAGTGCTCCAGGGTAGAAAAGGGTTGACGGATTGTTCAAAACATGTGGCTCCTTTCAACACTATTCCATATCCCATCTAACCAGAGCGATAATTTCCATTGAAGATGGGGAATATATTCATATATATATTCTTCTCTGCCTTTATTATCTTTATTTCTCTGATTGATGGATGTACTTCATAGAAATCTCATCAGAATCCTCCTCTTCTCCTTCTCTCGTAGCGCATCGCGACTTCGACTTGAACCGGCACCATAAACATGCCACACACTAAGCGCCGTTGCAACATGACTCGCTGACAACAATGCAACTCTTTCACCGCTGCTGCACCTACCTAGCCCCCTACCTCCCCCTTCAACCACCTCATATCTCGCACTATGGCTTCCTTTGGCCATTTTGCCATGGCTTAACGTTTCGCGCTTTGCGCAGTCTTTTTTTCGGGGGTTGCAACGGCAACGGTTGCCGTCAAAACGTAGGCCCAAAACGGAGCCAGACAACGGCGAAGGCCGGAAGAAAATTGCATGAGAGGCAGGGGACGGGGGCAGGGGCAGGGGCAGGGGCAGTAGAATGTGAAACGGGAATGGGAACGGACCTGGGGCATATGGGCACATGGACACATGTGGCTGGCTGTTCGAGTAGGCGGAGCACGCGAAATTAAACTTTTTTTTTCCTTTTCCTTCTTTCTTTATTTTTTTTTTTTCTGTGTGGTGTTTGCCCGTTGGTGTTGCTGCCGTCCGTTGCCTTGGTTGCAAGTTGCTGTTGTTGCTGTTGTTGTTGGCTGTCTGCAATGCGCGCCAAATGTAAACAAAATATTTGCGCGCCTGCCATAATTATGGCAACAACACTTGCAACAACAGCAACAACAACAACAACAATCAGCAATAAGCAACCAAGCATTACCCTCAATGCTGCCGCTGTCTGGCTGCCTTTTGTTTTTTGGTTGGCCAGTCGCCGCCGCTAACCCAGCCCCAAGTTGCAGCCCCCCCTGCCACACTGCCACACAGCCACACAGCCATGCCATGCACTTCATTAGCACCATCATTGGAGTCGTCGTCGTCGTCGTCGTCGTCGTTGCGGTCTTATTAGGGGCCTGCAACTGGGTCTGGGCACTGGGGGGTTCGGTTTCTTAACGACATCGTCGCCATTGCCGACGACACATATCCGTCATGGCCGCCGTCGCAATACACTTGTTAATTATTTCAATTGAACGGCACTGCTTTCCCCTTTGCCACCCCCTCCCCACCCCCCTGCTACATTCAACATTCGATACTATAAGATGGTGATAAATCAAACACTGCCAAACATTGCATTATCTCAAATCGAAGTCTTTGAATACGAAATTAAAGTTTCCAACGCATGGGATATGTCGAAAAACCGGCACAAAAACGAAAGAAAACAATTTCCCTAATGCGTTTGAAAAACTGTTAATGGCATTAAGCCGGGGACAAACGGAATCAGTCAAGGATATGCAAGCGCCGCCCGTCGCCTGCCTCCTGCCGCCTGCCGCCCGGCCTCGGCCCGAGGCTGAGGCTGCGGCTGTGGCTGTGGAAAGTCGAGACGCTGCCGCCGGGCAAACATGAGTGATGCGCCGATTTAAACGGCAATTCATCAATGTCAGCCGTGGGGTGGGTGAGGGTGTGGGTGTGGGTGGTTGGGCTAATGCCGCTTCCGCTGTTTTCCTTTCCCAGAGGGTGGCTGGGTGCCACCATTTTAAACTGTGCTAACTTGGATTGGTCCTGGTCCTGGTCGTGGTCCTGGCCTCAACTTTAATTTCCGATTTGCTTGCTTATCGCCCTCTTCTGCCCAGAGTCTGGACAGGGTCTGGGCGTTGGTCAGCGCTGCTGCTGCTGCTGCTGCTGGTCGTTAGCTTTGGCCACACATTTACAAAATTCCATTAAGATTTTTATCATTTTACATACGCAGCCAGCAGACAGCAGTCGCAGCCGCAGCCGCAGATACGGCAAAAAAGAGTACCCCAGCTAATGGCCAAATGGCCAAAAGAACGTAGTTTGAACTTCCTTGACCGGCGAGCATAAAATCTTATAGTTTTGTTTTGCCTTTTTTCGGTCAAATCAACCCTTCGTGTACCTTTGCCATTCGGACATCCTTTTTTTTTTTGGTCCCTTCAAAGGATTCCGGCATCCTTCTGCTTAACATAAAGTGGCGCATAACAAATCTGTTTATTTGTATTACACATCCGTTGGACTGGACTTCCGCTGGCCAGATCTGAAGGCAACTTTGAACTGCAGTTTGAATAGTTTTTGCCTCCGTTTTGGCAATTTGTTTTTACTGCCGCATTCAGGCCGATGCCGATGCCGAGGCCGAGGCCGTTTAGCCAAGCTCTTTGATGGCCCCAAATGGAAATCTAATTGGACGCGATGACCGAGCAAAGAAGCTGCCTTTCAAAGGGTATTCTCGTATTGGGATGTCGTAAATGGGATGCTTGGGTCTTAGAGTGAATGGACTGCGGATAAGGACTTCGATTGAGTCACGCAGTTGAGGTTTGCCAAGTGGTTGGCCGTGCCCCACAATCTTGTTTGCATTTGCCACCCTAATGGCCATATAATCAAGGTTCCAATGGCGCCTCGCCTCGCTGCTATCGTTTACATCATCGCCCGTGCAGCTCCCAGGCCCACCCCATTGACGCAGGCCATTCATTGGGAGGGAGCCAGTCCATGAGGTAAGGTAATCTTATCAACCTGCCACGCCACGAAAAAAATACCCACTAACTACAAAGTGGGCACTGGTGCTCCCTCCTCTTATCAGTTGAAGCAGCAGTCGCTGGGACTGGGACTGGGACTGGGGTTGGGGCTGAGGGTGGGCCTAGGCCTAGGCCCCAGCCAGTCAGAGATTCCCGTGGAGATCCCGATAACATCTCTGACGTGTGTGCGCCCCATTGGCCGGAATCTGGGGGGGCTATGGCTACGGCTATGGCTATAGTTTGGACTCACCGTTAAATGCTGAAACAGCCACGCTCTCAATATGTTGGTTGCTACTTTTGGGAAAATGCCACGTTTCTTTTGGTTCTTTTTGCCGCTCGAGTCGTCGTCCTCCTCGCCGGTGCCCTCGCCACTTCCTATGCTGGCGTTGCTGGCATCACCTGGAAAAAGGTATAAGGAAAAGAAGTTGCAAGAAAGATGAGTACACTGCTCGCTTGGGTTCTGTTCTACGTTCTATGTGTTCTATGCGTTCAATGCCTATGTCAATGTTGTCCCTGCTCCACACTCTGCCACACAGCATCCATGCAACCATGGGAGGGGGAGGAGACGTGTCTCTGGTCTCTCTGGTGTTTGCTCTGCTGGTTTATGGCTGTTTGTCAAGTAGGCATAAAATTACTTTACTAGCCATAACGATAATCATATGGATGACATTGTTTGTGGCTGCCGTTCAAGACACTGCAGGTCACCGGACTGGATCTCTCTCCGGCTCTCTGGCTCTGCTTTTGCCTCCGACTTGGTCTTGTTTAGAAACAAAATTAATATTTGTCAGGGGTCGACTGTTGGCTGTTGGGAGCTGCCTTGGCTCTGTCTCTGTCTCTGTCTCTTTTGGTAATGTTCGTGCATAATTTTTGGTTAATTTAAATTTTCCAGGCTTTTATCTTTTGGCTTTTGTTTGCCATGGCCAAATCCCTTTCCCTTCTCACACCCACACCCACACCCACACAGACAGAGCGTTTCCGCTTTCGGGCTTTGTTTTCCCTCTCATCATCATCATCAGCACTAGATCTCTTTGGATTTTGTATATTTTTGTTTAATATTAAGTATGTTATTTGTGTGTTTACCTAAAGTTTTAGTTACACTTAAGTAACTCAAATGGTAGCCCCTCAAACAGGAAGCCCAAATCGCTGCGCAAATGCAAACAAAATAAACCAGAGACTCCACTCCACTCCGCTCCGCTCCCACCCCTAATCAGAGCATTGCATAATTTCACGCTGCTCGGCATACCCTTGCTCTGCATTCCACCCCATCATCATCACCATCATCGTGATCATCAGATTTCGGGCCAAAACAAATATTTCCCAACACCAAACATGGTGCGCTGCGTCGCCTATGAATGTCTAACTTGGCAGTAGCCATGAGGCCTACCACCACCACCACCACCACCACCACCACCACCACCTCCTCCTCAGATCGGTTCGGTTCGGTTCGGTTCAGGTCTGTGTTCCTTGAGTGGTTCATAAATTTTCCATGCTTTATCTTTTGCACAACACCTTTGGCATTTGCTTTCGCTCCACCTTCACTCTGGCTGGTTTTCATTAATTTTTCAGTTAACTCATTCATTAATTTTCACACTCGCAGGGAAAATCGTATATGCACAGTAGCCAAACACACACACAGACATGCACAATCGGACCGACACAGACACGGACACAGACGGACATGGTGGCAGACTTCACGCCATTTTGCGTAAACCGGAAGTTGGTTTTGATTAATTTAGTCGCCGATGGAGACGTTCGCTCATTCGTTCGGGACAGAGAGGTGTGCTTGATTTTCTAAACATACCATAAAACAAAAGCTGATGGTGGTGGGCATACCAAATACGAAAAAAAACATAAACCAGAAGAACATCATACGCGCCTGAGAAAGAGCAGAACAGTGGATACCCTCCTCTGGCCCCAACAGAGCCACTAACCCCACACCGGAAAAACCCTCCGAGAGGAGCCCAAAGAGAAGCAGAAAAAAGGCGCATTGCATTAAAAAGTTGTAAAATTAATTTACCAGAAACTTCCAAAAAAAAAAAAGAACAAAAGAAGTTCCCAAAACAATCACTTGTTGGACCCTTTCTAGCGCCTCGCCCGCTCCGCTCTCTGGGTTGCATAATTTAGCAATTATGGAAATGCGTCGCCCCAATGAGATGGGAGCTGAATGACCAACCGAATCTGGCCAAATCGGAGGGCCCTGAGCCCTGAGCCCTGAGTGTGCGGAGGAGTCCATTACGAGGAGAGTGCGCCCGCTCTTCTCGGGCTTATCGAAGCCTCGCTCTTTCGCTCTCTGAGCTGCACTTTAGCCGGGCCAACAACGCATTGAGCAAATGCTGCTAGCTGCTAGCTGCTAGCTGCTGGCACTTAACAACTTCATTAAAAGTTGTTTATGATCCTCGAAATTGATTATTCCACTCGTACGGAAAGCGGAGACGCGAGACTCCGGAGGCTCCGGAGGCTGGGGCCAGAGGAGGCCACGGACTGTGGCACTCAAATCGCGACGGGCGCGCGCTTAAGAAAACATGAAATTGATTAATGCATTTGCCTGCAACATGGTCAGGAGACGGAGTTGCAGATGGAGACGGAGACGGAGATGGAGTTGGGGCTGCTACGAGACGACTGAAGATGGGCATGGGCATGGGCATGGGCATGGGTTGGGACTGGTATCTGCTGGTGATATGTAAATTCCTTCAAGTGGATTGCACTTTACGCCGACGACTCTCGATCCACCGCCTCTCGTCTTTCGTCTCTTCTCGAAGTAATTTCTGTGTGTGTGTGTGTGTGTTGGATTTCGGTTTGGTGTGTGCTCCCATTTCCATTTCCAGACCCAAACACAATTAATCTTTGGCAAGAGCCGCATCTTCGGATCTTCGCATCCCAGCCCCAAGACTGCTGCTTATTATTGTTATAATAACGATGTGCAAAAGCACTTGTGCCACTTGAGCGGGGCACTCGTGTAACAGGGAGATTAGGACGGTGCCCGGTGCCCAGTCCCCAGTTTGCAGAGGATCGGATCGGTGCGTATCTGGGGCCGCCGCCAAGTGCCTCGGGATTCGGGGTTTGAAGCTTTCCAAAGTGCTTTTCGCTGTACGGCGCTGTACGGGCGAGACCGAGACCAAGACGATAAAGCCGCTTGCATTTTTCTTTTAATTGAATTGTTAAGCGCAGCGCAAAACTTAATTAATTTCCACTATAACTTTGTCGACTTTATGGGGGCCCAACTCCGACTCCAGCTCCACATCGACCGGCTTCTGCTGCCCCTCAATTCCCAATAAGTTGTTGCTGCTGCTGTTTTTTTTTTTGGGGTGGAGGTTGGGTGGCGGGGAAGGGGGAAATAAATTTGATGCCGTCGCAATTTTCGTTGCCATTTCTGTCGTGGGCGGCGGGTGGTGGTTCGCTCTTGTGGCAAGCATTTTTATTTATTATTGGCTTAAAGGACGAAGGATGCAGGAACCAAAGACGCCATTTCAGAGGCAAACAGACAGACAGACAGACATGTGTGCCTGTGTGTGTGTGTGTGTGTCGGTATTGTTGCAAGGAACCTCCAGAACCAAAAAAAAAGAATAGTTTCCACAGTTGTTGGTGGACTATGCTCTGCTTGCCACATTTTCATGTTTGTTTTCTGTACTTCGTTTTCCTTTTTTTCCTGCTATTTTTTTTGCGTTTTTGTTGCTGCCTTCTACAATTGCGCAAAATTCCAATTTGCAGTAAATTTTGCGATTTTTCCTTTATACTGACATACAAAACATTTTTAGTTTCCTGCTGGCTTTTCCTTGCCCCCACCACCACCCCTCTCTTTCTTCCAGGGAATGCAATTATAGAGTAAAGCTGACAAAACCCAAACCAAATGCTTGGAGAAGGTCCCACGATTGATTAAGATTTCTATACAGATCCTTTAGCCTTCAATTAGGTCCCAAAATGTTTGCTTTTTGTATGAATTTCCCTCAGAATAATTCGAGAAATTGTAGAAATAAATATCTATGGATTCTGCATAAAATTCAATAACAAAATGCACTTTCCGGACAGCAAAAACAAACAAATTGCTTTTCCAATGTACAAGAAACAAACAGAGGGAAAGAGGCAGAGACAGCCAGTGAAAAACAGAATGAAATCGAAGGAAGAGCGACTCCCACTCTTCTGGCCTGGCAAAATATTTCCAAACTACTTGACTGTGGGGCTCGAGAGGGGGGAGGGGGAGAGGGTGGATTCCGAGCAGTTTTCAATTAGTTTTTAAATAAACTTTTCCTCACAAAATGAAAAACGCCAAATGCTCTCCTGCCCCCCCCCCCCCCCCCCCCCCCCCCCCTAGCCGCGCACTTGCCACTCGCCCAAAGAAAACTTTCCATTTTCGTGGCGAGTGTGAGTTTTCCCCATTTCAAACTGTTTTTGCGCCTGGCGCGTCTTTCAGGGGGCCCCGGCATTTGTTTATACAAATCCATGCCAATCGTCTGTCAATCATTTTCCAATAGGAACGCACCGAACCGGGTCGGCCCCAGAGAACATGGCGGAAGTCTGCTTAGGCTCATCGACATGGACCGGCCCCTGTGCATGTGTGTGTGTGTGTGTGTGTGAGTCGAGTGCTTCGGCCTGGGCGGCGGCCTGGCCAACAACTAATTGAGTTCTGCTTTAAATGATAATAAACAGCAGCGAAAGCAGCAGCCAGGAACAACAGCAATTGTCTATCTGCTATCTGCTACGTGCTACGTGCAGATTGCGACTTGTGTGCCTTCGGGTTTGGTAATTGAATTCAAAACATGTCAAAAGAAATCAGCCAGAAACGCCTTGGGTGGCCACTCCAGGCCAGCAGCCAAGCAAAGCAGTGTTGGGGCAACGTTTTGTCACAAGAGGCGAGCCCCGGCTTCAGCTTCAGCTGCAGCTCAGCAAACACTTCAGGCCCGAGGCTCTGGCTGTGTGCTCTTCAAGTGTAGGCAAAGAAGCTGCGCTTGAGCTGAGCCTCCAACTTGAGCACTTCAGCAGAGGCAGCCGCCACACACATGGCTCACAAAAGCTAAGAAAAGGGCGTCATCATCATCAGCCAACAACAGCAACACAGCTCGGGTGATTGTCAAGTGGGTGGCTGACTGAACAGCAAACACTCGAGCCGGGATCCAAAGTGAGACCTCCAAAGGTGTTGGCGCGCTTATTAGCCACCAGAGCCGCCCGCTGCCCGCTGCCTGGCCATGATTTATGTGGCTTTATTGAATCTCTACAGTGATAAAGATCTGCGATTAATCTAACTTTAGTCGGGATCAGCAGTGACAATTATACAGCCAGACACAAGTGCACAAATGATCGGGCAATTAATAAAGCTCTCGATACGACTTAATTAAACATTGAATAATGTTCCACGCGCTGAACTCTGCTTTGATCGGGGCTCCAATTGACATGATCTATTGGCTACATTCTAAGAGCCCTGGGCACGAGATTTTCCCTCCAGTCTGGGCCAATTTTCCTGCCCAGTTTTCATGGGCGAATCCCAAAAAACTCAAACAACGAGGATGAATAAACTGCAAATTATCAGAGGCCACAGAATGATGATGGATCACCCAATCGCGCAACGCCATAAAACGGCAACAAGTCAATAAGAACAACAACAACCTCAGCCTCGGACATATGGCCGGGTACAGAGCAGGCCCAGAGCCAGAGCCATAGCCAGAGCCAGACTCCAAAGTCAATAGCAATTTTTGTGGCCATTTTTTTTTTGCGGGGCTTCTTCCCAGAGAGAGAGAGAGAGGAGAGAAGACAGAGGGAGCACAGCACACAAAAAACAGTTTGAAGTATTAACACAAAAGCCGCTTTGGCTTTTGGCTTTGCCCCCGTCCCCCCGTCCTGTGCCCCGCCGTCCCACTCCGATATGTACGTGTACATATGGAGAGGCTTTTTATGGAGGATTTGTGTGATCCGCTGCAATATTTTGAGCCCCGGCAAACCAGGCGAAACCAGCAACCAGCCACGGCCAACGGGGCATCATCATTGTCGGCTTGTTGCATTGTTTTGGCCGGCAAACAACCGGGCAAAAAATGAAAAAAAAAAAAAATGAAAATAATAATAAAAATAATAATAATGTTGCAAACAAAACAAAAAACAACAACAAAAAAGCATAGCTGCTGCTGCTGCTGGATGCTGCAACATGTTCATGCCTCATTATTTTCGTACGGATTTTTGCGGTTCGCTTGGATCATGAGAGGCAGCCGAAGCAGCCTTGGACCCGTTGGATCTGGGACTCGGGGACTTTGGTTCTCAGGCTGCTGCCAATGGCTGGAGTTGGAGCCGGAGCCGGAGCTGGAGCTGTTCCATTCATTCAATAGGCTTACTTTTCAGCAAAAAAAGTTTATTAAAATTCCAAGCCAGGCAACCACCGAAAGCCAAAAAGCCAACACATGTTTTCACGCCTACCCACAGAAAAAGTCGAAACTCGGAAAAAGAAAAAGCTGAAACTGAAGCTGAAGCTGTCGGAGGCAACAACCGCCTTATATGCAGATTAGCCATATGTGTAGCCCCAGTCTCGAGTCTGTCTCTCATTCCCTCCGCATATGCAAAATCAAATTATTCAAATTCAATTATTGTCAATTTTATTTATTATTAATGCGCATAATTGTCAAATTTGCCAAATTTATGAACCTCTTTCGAGCGATACACACACACTACAGCCATTCCCGTATGCCGTTCATATAAGTGAGTGTGTGTGTGTGTGTGTGTGTGTGTGTGTGTGTGTGTGTGGGTAAGGGAGCTTTATGCAAATGCCAGGCAACGCAGCGAACGACGCCTGGACAGGATTGTCTCGCGCTCAATCCGTTCGAATTTATGAGACATGTTGAAATGCATCTCACCTTGATTATGTGGATGTGGATGTGCATGTGCCACGGAACGGGGACTGCGACTCTGACTGGGAGTGAAACTGAGCCTCAGACTGAGCTCTGAGCTCTGAGCTGATCTGCCACCAAGGGAGTCTCGGTCTCTGGCATTGGCTGCAGCACCGAAGATTAATGGCAGCGGGTTTAATTTGTTTTTGGGTGTTCTTCCCGGCGGAGTGTTAGGCTTCGGGAGTGGGCTGCAGCTGTAGATGGGGCTCGGATTCATTATTCTTTATGCACTCGCATTGACACCTTGCTCGGTGGGCAGAGGGGAGCCCCACAGGTGACTGACTTGAGCTGAATCTGATTGCTTTTGACTTGGGCCCTGAACCTCTGAGGTTTTCCTTCAGCCCTGCTGCCGTCTGCTGTTTGCCTTTCCCATTATTTGTATTATTTTCTACATGATATTAAGCAATTCATAAGCGTGTAATTTCGTTTAGCGTACACAAAAAAAACAAGCAGGCAACAAAAAATGGAATGTCTGCAGTTGATTTTTGACATCAAAATTGCAGGCGCGACTGCAGACAACGCGGCAAAAGTCGGGGCGGGGCCCCCACAGCACCAACGAACGGCAGGCCAGACAGACATTGGGGATGTTACCCTTCTTCTTCTTCTTCAGCTTCCTTCCTGCCCCCCTTCTTCTGCTTCCTGGGCTGTCTTCTCTTTTTCACATTTTTTTTTTGTATTTTTTTCTTCTTAATAACACACTGAAAATGTTTTTTTAACAGCATGAAAATTATAACGCATCAGTCACGAAACACGAAGACAACAACGAAACTTTGGTTGTTGCACTCTCCCTCCCCGCCCCGACCCCTCCGTCACCGCCTACCATCAGCCCCTGCATGTGAAAATCTTTCAGCGACCAAGTGCAAAAAACGTTTTTCTCTCTTTCTTTCCCTCAGTGCGGTGTGTGTGTGTGTGTGTGTGTGTGTTACCCCATTTTGTGCAGCTTTGTCGGCCATATTGGAGGGGAAAAGTCAGGCAAAAGAGTGAGCGAGAGAGAGAGAGAAGGAGACGGCGAAAAAAAGCGCACTTTTTTCCAGCCAACAAAATGGTTTATTAACTTGAAAAATAAGTCTGGAAAGGGAAGGAAAACCCAACACAAAAAATCTAGAGAAATGTTCCGCGTTCGTTTTCAGTTTTAGAATATGCAAATTAAGTGAAATAACAAGACAACAAAAAAGCTAGCATAAATTATAAAATGAACAACAAAATCTAGATTCGATGGCAGATGGGATCCGTTGAATCTTTTGGGGGCCCGCTCGGCAACTGTCTAATAATAATGAAATATTTCCAGCTCGAGCCCCGATATCGGGGGAAAGGGGGAAGAACACGCTTGTAAAGATATTTATGCTGCTTTTCGAATTTGAATCTTTTGCTGTGACCTTTCGTGCCTCTACCACGCCAGATCGATCCGAGTGTGTGGATGTATGTATTTTTCTTAATTTTGAAAGCGTATTAAATTACATATACTTGTAGATGGAGAGCCCCCCTGCCCCTGCCCTTGCCGTTGCCCCCTTAAGCGGCAACCAAATTGAAACAAGAATTTCAAGTATGTTTAACCCAAAACACAAAACACAACACACAACCGAACTGGGAATCAGAATCAGAAACCAAAAACTGAAACCGAAACAGAAACAGAACCGAAAACCGAACCGAAGAGTCAAAAACAGGCCTCCTCCTGTTCTGCCATGGGCATTGCCTGGGCTTAAAGTATTTCACAGGAAATCTTCGGAAACGCAACGAAACGAAACCCCAGCAACAATATGTTCTACACATTTCTCTTCCCTCCCCCGTGCCCCCTGCCCCCTGCCCCGTGCCCCTTTCCCCGTCCCCCGTTTCCAATCTTCTTTCGCTGCTGGGTGTGTGAGAAATCGAAATCCCAAAAACTAAATCCTATAATGCCTTAAAGGGGCACACACAGAGAGAGAACCGACCCGACCGACCGACCGAACGACCCGCACTGCTCACGCACGGCTACATTTTGAAATATCTCTCCCTGGATATGTGTGTGTTTGGTATTTCTTTTTTGTTTCACATCCCCATGCCATGCCCCACACCATGCCCCATACCATAGCATGCCCCAGCCCTCGGCCCAACCGATTCCCTCCATTCAAAAGTCACAGGGCAGGCAGTCGCTGGCACAGGGACAGGCACAGGCACAGGCCCGAGCGTGCGCTCACTCTATAATAATGATAAGATGGCTCTTAATCAGAAAATTTATATGCCCCGGCATTTAGTTGTTCGGTTCGCTCACGCTCTCCAACCAGAGCTGGACGGATCCGAACCGAACTGATGATGGGTTATGCTCGTTTATAATTATGGGTCCTGTCAGGGGCTAAATAACAGCCGCATCTCAAACTCAAACTCAAACTCTACAATTTTCAGTTTAGCCAGAGACAATGAGAAAGAGAGAGAGGGAGAGGCTGTTCCCTATGTCTTTCCCTCTCTGGATGCTGCCATTTTGGCCAAAAAGTGGACCAAGGAACTTTCTGTTCGTGGGGCGTGTCACCTTTTTGCGCCTCCCGTTTCCCGTTTTTCTGTCATTCAAAAAAAAAAGAAGAAAACTTACCGCTTGCACTCGTTCCAAAGTTGTCTGAAAGTAGAACAAAAAGAGTTGGGAAATTAGATAATTATTTGGCCAAGAGCAACCTGTCTGTCTGTCGCACATATCCCAAATATTTCTCAGCCTTAACTACAATAAATCTTCCTCGTATTTCCACACACAGCATTTTCAAAAAACTAAACCCAACGAAACCAAACAAAAAAAAAAGATTGAAAAATTTCGTGCAGACTTTGACCGCAAATTGTTGTAGTCCCGTCGCAGTGGTTTTTGTTGGATTTTGTCGGCTATAAAATATGAGATGTATGTATATTCACACGCTGCATAGACCCAAGGGCAGGGCCAGGGCCAGGGCGAGGGCGAGGGCGATGGCGAGGGGTTTGGGCAATCAATCAAAACTATGTGAAGCCTGTGGAATCAGCGCCAAGTGTGAACCAGAAATATTTGGAGCAAATCAAATGCAGTCCCAGTCCCAGCAAAAAACCGAAAAGGTGAAGTCCGTTCCGTTGCGGTTCCAACTTTGTTATATATAGGAACACCCGTATAAACATTTAAGTTTATTATTTTTTTTGATATTTTCGCACGCAAATCATTTTTTTGTTTCGCTTACGTTTTGAAGATTTATTTTTTATGATTTCGCTTGGGGCATTATGCAAATATCTGTTTGGGGCTTAAGTACCTATCTATAGAATATCCCATATCTGGCAGATCTTCAGAGGAGTTTGCTGAACTAATCTCTGTCTTCAGGCAGTCTCTTTTCCACTCATTCCCACTCTTTCTCTGCTCCACGTCTGGCGGTGTCATTTAGTCAGTTTGTAATGACATGGCTAAGAGTATTTTGTGAACTTGGCAGAGGAGCTCTGCCCACCCCTGCCATGTCCCCCGATCCAGCTCAATTGCAGCTCTGGCATCTTCCATCTCCCATCTCCCATCTCCCATCTCCCGTCTCCCGTCCGCAGTGGACGCGTTCTTCTTGTCATTTAAGTCATCGAACACGCATTGGTACAATGTACATGGTGTCGGTGTCGGGTTTGTTGTCGGCTCTCCTTCTCCTTCTCCTGTGCTCCATTGCCAGCCCATGGCCATTGCTGTGTGGATGTCAGTGTCCTGGAACGGCCATTGCCAGCCAGTCAGTTCCCGTTCCCCCCTTCCTGCCCCCTGCCTGCCACCATCTGCAAGCCCTGCTCCCAGCGCAGTTCATAAATAATCGTCTTAAGTTGATGGCAATGCGGTGGTGACTGTCGACGATTGCTGGGTGGCACTCGCTGCAACTGATGGCCTCTATGGCCGACTCGGTTCTCAGCCGCAGATTAAGCCCGACTTCGACTTCGACTTTGGCTGTCCAAGCCCTGCTTGGAGTACTTAACATTGCATTTCGAAAATGAAAAGGAACAGAAATGTATGTGGCCAAAAGAAAGCACAGTCACAGCCACAGTCACAGTCCGGGGAACCGTTCAGATATTCCAAAAACGTTTCAATGAATGTCAGCGAACGCATTGCTTCAATTTTTTCACCGTCTCCCCAGAGCCGAGCTCTTAACTCGCCAAAAAACGAAAGAAAAAATAAACAGAACAGAAAACAGACGAAGTGCCAGCCAGCCAGCCACAGCCAGCACTTTGGTCGTGTCTGATCCCATTTTAATATTCTAGATACTTAAATAAAATACGTGTCTGGCCTGGCCAACAAACGTTTATTGTTTGTTAATTGATTTCGCAGCAAAGTTCTCTGCACTCCGCTCTCCGATCTCCACTCTCCGCTTTCCGTTCCTCTGGTTAAAATGCAAAGTGCAACTTTTCTCAAAACCGAAAACAAAACGAAGAGCGGAGCGGAGCGGAGCGGAGCGGAGCAGACTTTGCACAAGCCTCAGGCCTGAAATGAACTGAAACCGAACTGAACTTGTATTTGGTATGCAAAATTTGTTTGGCCTGCCTCTGGGCCCAGGCCAGGCCAGGCCAGGCCGGGCCAAGTCATCTTCCTCTGCCTCCTCATCTGCTTTGGGGGCTTTGGCTGGGGCTGGGACTGCGGCTGGGACTGGTGCCGGGGCTTTGGCTTTTGGGCGCAATTAATTTGCAGACAGCGAAGCAGCCTTGAGGCTGCCAACAGTTGACAATTGTCAAGGACTGCGACAACTTGGCGGCAAGAGTCAACGTTGTACGAGTACGTCTGCTGTTGCTGTACTTTGGCCTGACAGCTGACAGTCGGCGTATCCAAGACTTGTCTTTGGATACTTTGTCTCTCCGTGTGTCTCTTGGACTTGGGTCATTTAACGGTAATTACCAAAACGCTCTTCGCACAAAAAGCTTTCCGCGAAAGAAACTGTTCTCCAACTGGCGGTTGGAAAACGCTTGCCTCTTCCCGGCCAGTTTTTCAGACACCAGCAAGACAAACCCAAGAGCCGCTCAAGTGCCGACAAAGCCGACCAAGTGAAGCATAAAAATGAAGCACCCAAAACGAAGAAAAACCTCTAGAAGAGCAGCCAGCCAAAATGGAAGAGGCAGAAGGCAGAAGGCAGCCACACGATTTTCCATTTGGCCCAAACACAAAGTTGGGAAGAGACGAGACTCTCGAGCGCGACTCAAAGTCTATTTATGTGACTATTGAAGTGGGCCTTTCGGCTCTTCGGTTCTCCTGCTTCTTCTTCCTCTTCTGGCTGGGGCCTTCTTCAAAATACAGTCCCAGCCATGCAGCCATCCAGCCAGCACACATACTCCATAATACTCCATCCAGCCCGACTGAAGAGGCGACTGAGGCTGAGGCGGCTTTGGCTTTGATTTTTGCTTGATTTCTTTCAAAATCGGGCGGCTTTGGATCCGCTGGAGCAAAATAGAGATGCAGAGCCGAGAACCAAAAGCCAAGAGCCGAGAGTGGAGAGTGGAGAATCTCTGTCTCGAAAATGATGCTCGAGTTGTGGTTGCTGTTGTTGTTGCATGTGCATTGACTGTGACGCCATTTTCAGGCAGACAACCCAAGAGTGGAACGTATGCAAAAGAGAGACTCAGACTGAGACTGAATCTGAGGCTGAGACCCAGGTCTGGGCCCGAACATATCCAAAGGCAAACCGCCAAAAGGATAATCAGCAACAATTTAGTATTATTACACCACGTTCGAAGCCATCGAAGAAGCACCCAGCGCCCAAGCCCAGGCCCAAGCCCAAGCCCAAGACCCAGAGGAAGCAGCACACAAAGTTGTCTGTCAGAGCCGGGGCTGTTCTCCCTCTTTAAGCCGGGTCGGTGTCGGTCCAGGCCTGGCCTGGCTGAGCTCTCAAGTATGCATTTCAAAGAAAATCATTATTATCGATGCGGCAAAGGCAACTCCACCATGGATTTGGCTCTGGCTCAGGCCCAGGCCGCGGATGTGGCTGTGGCCGTGTCTGTGGATGAGGAAGAGCCAGGCAGTGCCTCAAGTTTACCTTTTGGTATTTTCACGTAGTCGTAGATTGAGTTTCAATGGAAAAATGATTTGCAAATTGACTTTAACGAATTGCTAGAGTGAGCAACCTGCTGTTGGGCCACGGCATGCTTTTTCTGGTTCCTTTTGGGCATGTTATGGAATTTTGATTACAGCATTTGCTGCTCCGCGAGGAGGAGGAGGAGGAGATCGCCTCTCTATTAGAAAAAAAAAGCGCTGCGGCTCCATGTAATTGGCACGCATTTGGCTGGAGCCAGAGTCAGGCCGAGAGCCAGGGACTCCAGCGAATACAATGCCAGTGCAGGGGAGAGGGAGAGGGAGAGGGAGTGGTAGTGGGATCCAACTGGGAGCCTCCTATGGGCCACTGCCATTCAAAAGACAATCGAAGGCGTATGCCTGGCCTGGCCTGGCCTGGACTGGTCTGAACACAGCCATGTCTGTCCCGATGCCATTTTGATGGCCATTTCATTGGCATTGGCCAAGTTTAGGGCCGCAGGCGGGCCTCAATGACGTCGACGTCTGATCCATGGCCGATCCATGGCGGCCGCCGCTATCAGCCGCACTCCACTCTCCGAACCAGTTGGTGGACTGCGACTGAGACTCCACTCCAGTCGATCCCCGGCTGGTGGTTGCTTTTGGCCGTTGGGCGATGCCAGTTCGTATATCATTATAGAAATTACCTACTCTCTGCTCTATGGCAGCAGCAGCAGCAGCAGCAGCGACTCCGGCAACTGCAACGGCAGCAGCCATTGTTAGTATTTTGCCATTAACGTTAACTCTTTGGCACAATCTGAGCCGGTTGATCTCTTGTTGCCCGCCACATCGATGGGGCAGCAACAGAAATTAAAAGCAGCCAACCAACTAGCCAACAACGAGAGGCAACAAAAACTGTCAAGCGGAAGGCAAGGGCCGAGCAAAAAATTGATGTTGTAAATTATTGAAATCTAATGGAAACGTTGACGTCAGTTGGTCGCCTGATGATGCCACAAGTCAGCTGATATGGCGCCTTAGGGGCTCAGATAGATAGATACAGAGAAAGGAAATACTTACCAGGACTACCAAGGAAGACTGAGGAATACAGTCGCCTGGAGGCGTCTGCGTTGCGAGCATCGGCAGGTGAGGACCATTCTCTTCGACACCATCGTCCTGCAAAAGATAGAAAAGCCGCGCATTAGTATATAGAGTACTCGAAATCCCATCACTGCCGATACTCATGAACTGCTTAAACAAATATACGGAATAAATTATGATAAATTATGCCAAGACATAAATAATATGTCCACAAATTAACAAAAGTCTCTGGAACTTGGCAAAGTCCACAATTATTAATTCAATTTTCCACGTACTAAAGCCTTTCGTAAGTGTACTAAAACTCATTTCCAGGCAGAGCATTAAGATCTTAAGCCACTCTAAGCCACAGCGACTGACTGACACAATTTGCAACACTTGTCAACTTAATGCCTCTCCAGCGATATTGACAGCACGTTGAATATCTTAAGCCAACGCATATCTCTCTCGCACTCTTATGAACATTTGGATAAGGTGCCGCTGGCGACTGGGACGCTTTCGTCAAACGCCTTTCATTGAGTGACAGGTGCGCCTACAACTGCAGCCGAAAAACCTACTCCCATAATCTACCAATGAACCAAAAACAGAAAAAGAAACAAGAAAACAAGCAAAAAGCCCCTCTATTCAATGTCGTTGCTAAGGCACAGCCCCAGCGCCCCCCCCTCGTGAGTCAGGCTGCGTGCCGCTTATCAGAAATCGGCCTACCATGACCACAAATATATACAGGGGTATTTATAACGTAAGAACCTCCTCAATGGACACTTTGGAGGCATAAAACTTTAAATGAAATACGTAGTGTAAAAAAAGGCGAGGAAGAACGAATGAGAATGGCGCTAATAATAATTTGGTTTATTGGCTTTAAAGCACAATGAAGACGGCCAGAATAAAGGGGCGGAAAGTGAAGGGGCGTGCCACACGGCGAGGGTGCGAGTCGAGTCGAGTCCAACGGCCCGGCCAATCTGCACGGCAATTTCTATTATTTTTTTAAGCACTTTCTTCAGCTCAACGACGCAAGGGCAGACGCACCTTTATTTAAATTTTCTTTCTTTTTCTTTTCTTTTTCTTTTCTTCCTGTCCAGCGAGAGGGGGATGCAGGGGTCAGGGGTCTGTCTGCGCTTCGTTTTTCCTCTTAATGGGCAATTTTCTTGGTAGTAAATGGGCACGTTTTATGAACGCTTTTGTGGGGTGTTTATGGTGGGGATGCCAATGCCGACTGGAGCGACTGTCGGCCAACCCCCTGGCCGAGCGCCGGCCGTGGAGCGATGGGCGTGTGCCGAGTGCAGCAGGGTTGACGGCTGTTTTAATGGAACATTAAATCGCCACTGACACTGCACCTGTCCAATTAAAATGTAACATAATCGCAACGAAATAAATTTTAAAATGCAAGCCAAGAACAAACCGAAAACCAAAAAACCAACAAGCAGCAAATCAATAATAAAATTAATAGAGTTTTCTTTGCTGCCAACAAGAGCGGTAACAACAACAACAACAACAAGAACAGCGGCAACAACAATGAGCCACCGAAAAAATTGTTCGCACATAAATCTTTGCACTAAAAAATTTTATTGTCGTTTTTATTGTAAAGAAATAAAATAAAAAAAAAAGACAGAGAGCAAAGCCAAAGCCAAAACAACAGCAAAACCAACAACAAAATGAGACAGAGCAGAGCCAAACAGTCTACGGCTGTATGGCGGCGGCTCTCTCAGAGAGCGCACACACATATCGCTTATGGCGATGCTGCTCTCACTTCTCTTCTCACTCATTTCCCCTGACGAGTGCCTTATCGTATCGTAAGTTGGCTGCTTACGAGCCGAGCAAATATCGTAAGAAGGCAGCGCCATTTGCTGTGGCCGAGCCCCGCAGCGCGTGCGAGCGGGACGAAGCTAGTGAAGAAGTCCAAGGCGAATTGGCAGAGCGAATTGAAATGCCAGTCCCAGTCAATGAGAGGAGACTCTCCTCCCCCGTTGCCGACTGCTACGAGCCAAGTTAATGATTTTCGTTCAGACCGTCTTGACTAATTCGATTTTGGATGAGTTTTGTTTTGTTTTCCTATGGTTTCTTATGCAATATTAAATCAATAAGCCAACAAATTCGCCTCGCTTTAACCGCGGAAAAAGCTTGAAAAATTCACTAAAATATAAATGGTGTTCCTTGAATTGATTTCGGTCAAATTTAAGTGCACTTCAACCAACAAATTCACTTCATTTTTCGTTTTTTGTAAACAACAAATCCGAAGGAGACCCACTGAGGAGTTAATTTTTAGAGATTTCTTTGTTTATGGGGCTTTTAAATGTCACAATTCTCAAATACTGAAAATGTGCTAAAACATTTATTGTTTGCTTGTTTCTCAAAATGTATTTTAAATTATCTTTCTGTGGCATTTTTTTGGTTGTTTCTTTGTTGCTTTTGTTTCGTTGTTTCTTGTCTCATTTTTTTGTGTGTTTTTATTTTTTTATTTGCTTTTTGGCCTTTTGTCGTTTGATTTTCGTTTTCTATTTTTAGTGGCACTATTTTTGGTGGCGACCCCATTTGCCGCTGCCTCTAGCTAAGTGTATTCTTCCTCTCCCGCCTCTCCCCCCCACCGTCGGTTGCCACCTCCCCCCAACGCCGCCATGCATTGGGCATGGTATCTCTTGGGTGAAGTGCCTGTGGGGCTGATAAATGGCGCTTAGGCATTGATTAGATGCCAGCCAGCCAGCCAGCCAGCCAGCGGCAGCCTGCAGCAAGAGCAACAGAGCAACAGCCAAATGCATTTGCCTTATCACCAATGCACTCCACAGACACTGGCACACATTATAACCGACACCCATTACCCCCTGCCACTGCTCCCTGCTCCCTGCTCCCCTGCTCCCCTCCTCAACACACACTCTCCCTTGAAAAGAAAAACACAACAGTCCAAAACGAAACCAAACGAAACGAATTTTCCATTTTCCATTGAGTTCTCCTCCTCTGCAGCACCCCTCCCTCCCCCTCCCAACCCCACAAAATGCCAGAGACTCTTCAATTCTGTTTCGTCTGTGTGTCCATGTGTCTGTCTGTGTGTGCCCCTGTATCTGTGTGTGTGCTTAGATAAAATTGTGTTTCGAAAGTGACAGTTGAAATGATTTATCACTTGCCAGCGACTGCAAGGCGCAAACGCCAACGCTGCCCTGCCCTGGCCCCCGGTCCTCCCCCCTCCGGCCCACCGCCTGGCTGTCGTCAAAGTTTTTAGCACAAGCTCGATGCTCCTCATGCCCGCAGCCCCCTTTTCTAGCACCCCCTTCCAAGGCATGTTTGGCATTTTTGTGTAGAAAAATTGAAAATTGCTTTTTTCGTCAGCAGCCGCCACAGCGCCACACAGTGCCCCTCCCCCCTCCCCCCTCCGTGCTGCCCCTGCTATCAGGGGCAACTTCATCTTTCCAATTTTCTACTATTTGGCTTTGTGCCCCTCCAGCAGCAGGTCCTTCCCCGTACCTCAACCCCTCACTATTGTTGCTTTGGTTTTTGTTGTTATCTGTGAGTTTTTCATATGAAAATTTAATTCCTCTGCCAACCTCCCCGCTACCCTACCAGAGTCATTTCCCATGCGAGCTAATTTAAAAATTTTTGTAATTTTTTCGCTTTGCTCTTTTGGAATTTTTGCAATGCGCGACAAAATGATTTATGTCGCTGCCTGGGCGAAATTAAAAATATTACAAAAAGCAGCAGCAACACCAACAGCAATGCGAACACATTTAAATAACATAAAAAATATATATACATATATGCAAAAAAAAAGGAGAGAGAGGCGGAGGCGGAGGCGGAGAGCGAGACAGGGACAGAGAGTGAGATACATTTGTATATTGTGTCACTTGAAGCTTTAAAATGAAATTGTTGCCGTGTGGAAATTTACGCTGGCTTTTCTCAATTTTTATGCCCAACAATTTCGAACAAGAGCAGAGCAGAGCAGAACAACGGCCGAGGCGACAGAAAAAAGTTAAAATAAAATACATAAACCGCAACAATTTTTCAACATTTTGCACGTGTAAATTTTCCAATTGGCTGAACGCGTTCGCCAAATGAATGTTGGGGTGACCGGGGGGAGCGGGAGTGCCGCAGAGGGGAAATTGGAGTGTACAGAGAGAGAGAGAGAGAGAGAGAGAGAGAGAGTGAGTGGGCGGCTGGTTCGCTGCTGGGCGTGAACCATCTGATGGATTCATTTAAACAATTCTTGAGCCAGGTGCCCCAGCCCAGAGCGGGAGAGACAGGGGAAACCCTTGAAGAGAATTATGGCGGAAATGAAATTTGCATTGACATGGCAACCTCTTAGGGTTGACCAGCGAGGGTCTCTGGGTTCTGCCTTGGGTTTTGCATTGCCGTCGGCAGTTTTCAGGCAGCTTTTAGCTGGCTTCTGACGAAGAGATACGTATATGTACCCCGAGATCACTTAGTTTCCTTTAAAGAGAAATATATATACGGAAATACTTTAAGCCTTGGGTCAAACTATAATCTAAAAGGTTCACAAGTTCAAAACATAAGAAATGAATTCCATGAATACCACTTCTCAGAACAAAATCCAACCTAAAGCCAATTTTTTGTGAATGAATTTTGTTCAGGGGGTTTTCTGTTGACCCGATAAGATTAGCTCGGATTAGATTTCCGTCGAAATCAAGAGGGTTTTTACTTCTAACAAATACATTATATTTCTGCAGGCTTTCATTCGCAATCTCCACTCTTTTTATTTTGAATCATTTATGCTATTTTGTTGTGGCTTTTTGTGTAATTTTTCAAATTGCCAAAAACGAATTTCGGCTGCAGCTGCTTTACGAGCAAAAAACCAACAAAAACCAGAATAGTTATCTATTTTTTTTTTTTTTGTGTCCGCCGCCGTTTTCACAGCATTTTGCATGTTTCATTTTTTGTATTTTGTTGTTGGGTTTTTGTTTCAATTTAAATGAAAAAGCTTTTCGCGCATAGTTATAAAAATAATGGCTGCAACTCAACGAAAGAGACAGGCAAACGGAGCAGAAGAGCAGGAGGGCTGGGGAGCCGGAGAGCAGGAGAGCAGTAGAGAGATGGAAGGCCAGTTCTAATGCATTAAACTCGGATAAATGGATTTA